GTATGTTGTTTTTAAATAGCAATATGAATATGTTCTCTGTATTCTGCCCCTAATTTAGGAATGACATAGATACAGTATATATTATGAAAAAAAGTGTAGTCTTTTATGTATGCTTTTTCTGATTAGAAATTGGGAATGATACATAAATCTTTCTATTCAGTTTTGGCTAATTTATACTGCTTAATGGAATAAAATATTTTTCTTCAGATTATGACCTCCCAGTATTTGAAAAGTTTGTCAAAGGTGGAACTTATCCTCGGTATCATATTTCATACCAACATCAAGAATACAATGATGGTGAGTTGTGGGTCAGCTAACATACTTAGATTTTTCTTCAAATTTTTGGTTTGTTTTACTGTAAATTAAGAGAATCATTTTTGTGTATTAATTTTGGATTTATAAATCTTTGTTTTGTTTTGGAACTAACATTTGTCAGCCGGACCTTTTTAGGGTTGTCTTAGAACATCTGAATGAAACTTTTTACTTGTGATCACATACAGGCTGCTGCTAAAAAAAATTTAATTATCTGGGAAAACTTCCAGTTGGTTCTTCAAATTCTCAACGTCCTAAATAACACCTTCAAAGTATTACTTGTTTTACCTAAATGTGCCCTTCCATTCATGGAAGAGAATGGAAAAGCTGAAGATCTAATAGGGTCCACAATAAAAGAATGTTAAAATATTTTCATTGCTTTTCTTTGCAACTTTTAGTGTAAGGCCTATGTTGTTCTGGAGAGTTTTCCAGATTGTTAGAATAGCTTTTCAGTAGATGACAGTGAGAAAGAACAATGTTACAGTACTTCTTTGCTTCCTTCTAATCTAGAGCATTTCATGAGTCAAGTTCAGTTCATGGCAGCTAATTTCAGATCTGTATGAATTCTGTCTTTTCTTAAATTCACTATTTACAATAAACTAGAGTTTCATCAAGTATGGTATTTAAAAGATCATCAAGGCTATTTACTTTTCTTAGAGCTGAACCTATTATTTTCTCACCACCAATAAAAAATATTACAGTATTATATTTTAAACCTTCCATGTTTAGAAAATTAAAATCTTTTTCAAGAAAGGGTGCTTGCTCTAGATACAAAGTATCTACTTTGGTTATCATATGTATTTCTTATTATCAAAAGACCTGAGAGTAATGTGTATTTATGATTGCTTCTCAGATCTGTAATTCTGTCTAATGATCTTTACTGACAGTTCTGTCCAGAACAATGTACTGATAAACAGTGTGCTTCATAATACTATGGTGTTGGAATTACCTATAATTTCTGCAGGTCGTAAAACTTTTCCAAGAGTTAGAAGGACCCAAGGAAACTGCTTACGCACTCCAGTAAGTTTCAGTCCAACTGATTATTCATTGAGCACAAGCAGTGGGAGCAGCATTTTCACTCCAGAATATGAAGATGGACGAATGCGGAGAAGAGGAAGTGATATAGAAAATCCTACCTTGACAGTAATGGACATCAGTCCTCCCAGCCGCTGTAAGGAGAAAAATTCTATCTATTGCCTTGTAATCCCTCATCTAAACTATAATTCCGTTGTTCAAATAGCTAGGTTTTATACACAACTGTGAGGAAAATAAATTACCAGAGGAATGGGAGCGTATCAGAAGAATAGACTAAAAACAGAAAATCCGACATACATAAGAATGGGCCTTGAAGTGTGTAGTACACAGTTAAGCTTTATCAGGAAAGTCCTATGGCTACCTACTGTACATGTTTCTTTAGTAAGAATAATATTTTCTTGAAGATAGTAGAAGGGCAGAAAATAACTTGAAATCTATGCATTGTTAATATGTGTGCTTGCATTGTGTGTGTGTGTGTGTGTGTGTGTGTGTATAAATTTTGGAGAAAACTTGCATTACATACTGACTAATACTGCAAAAACCAAAAACAGGAATTGTAAGTCTATTCAAAGGGTAAATATTTATATTTTATTTTAATATAGAATAAAATATGCTGATTTGGAAGCTTTTTTGAAAAGTGTCAGAAAGGTGTTGGTCCGTTTTTCCCTTGTATACTTGGATATAACAGACTTCTCACATTTTGTTGCAGCCCCACGTGCTCCAACTAATTGGGTACTTGGTAAACCACTTGGCCAAGGTGCATTTGGTAGAGTTTATCTATGCTATGATGCAGACACAGGACGAGAACTAGCTGTAAAACAAGTTGAGTTTGATCCTGACAGCCCAGAGACGAGTAAGGTAAGAATTTGGGAAGGAAGGATCCTCTCTCAACCTTTCTGATACGTACACATACAACAGTTAATATAAATTGAACTTATTTTTTAGAATCACACTTTAAAAAAAAGAGCAAAATCAAAAGAAGCTGAAGAAAGTTGTTATGGAATCTGAACATTAAACAAATGTCATTGAAAGATTGATGTTATTCATATGTGGAATCTGTGACATTGTTTGGCTTTTTTTTTCCATGGGTGAAATTCTCTTGACATGAGCTGGTATCTTCTTGTTTAGTAGATTTGTTTTTCTAATTTATTCTCCCATTTGTTTTCAAAATGTTAGGAGTCCTTTCAGAGCAAACTTTAAGAGTGTGCCATCCTCAATAGTCTGTTGAGGGGAGGGGAACTGTTGTTCCCATTCTAGGAGTCAAAACTATTTTCATATATATGGAAATGATTCTACTCTTAAAAAATGAAGACATGGGGTTAATGGAAGGTTTATTAAGCTGTACAATGTATATCAATTAAGTCTCTTCTCTAAACATTTCAACTATTCAGAAATTTCCTATCAATATAAGCTAATTATTAATAATTTTCTAATTATTAATAATTTTCTTGGAATCTTTCACATGTCCTCAGATATAGTGGACCATTTTGTTTTTAACACACAATACTTCAAACTATGATGCTGCTGAAAGAAAAAATAAACTAGAAAATTAAATGAATGACAATTGTAAAGTGCATTTTCATTACTTTGTGATATTTGAATATGTAATTTTGGATTCAATACTAAGAGTACAAACTACAGAGGACTTATTGAAACCCACAGTATTACCAATAATATTTAGGAATGACATAAAATTCATAGTTCATTCAGTAATTTGATCATTATTTTAAATAAGAACAGATAATTCATACAAGATTTTCTGAGAACCACAGTTATGCAATTCTTATTGCAATTTCTGGGAGCATTGCAGATTCTTTGATCCTGTTTAAAGCAGGGGTGTCAAACCCACGGGCCAATTGCGTCACATGCTGGCCCCGCCCGGTTTAGCGAAGGGGAAAAAAGTCCCAATACATCACATGATGCTACCGTGATGACGCGAGTTTGACACCCCTGGTTTAAAGAGACTTGTGGAAGCTGTTTTCCCAGGTCATAGTTTTCAATTAAGAGTGAGAATAAATGCTTTTATATTTTTTTCCCAAAACTGAAGTGTTAGTTTATTATGAAAATAGTAAAGCAGCTAAAATGGTTTGTAGTGAATAATAATAATGAGCTAGTAATATTGATTTTTAAATTATTCAGTTTAAATTAAAAAAACTTGAAACAAGTATTTTTGGTATGATTTAGTGCTAGAAATTTGCTCTTATTCTAATATGTTACTTTTAGGAAGTAAATGCCCTTGAATGTGAGATTCAGCTTCTGAAAAATCTGCTACATGAAAGAATTGTTCAGTATTACGGTTGCTTAAGGGACCATCCGGAAGGAACACTTTCTATATTCATGGAATATATGCCAGGGGTAAGCCACTGACTCACAGGGAGTGAGTGTGTGCCCATATGTTAAAATCAAGTCTGCAAATGGAATACAAATACTGTGTACCATCAATCTGAAAAGAATGCTTTTGTACTGAGTTTCTATAAATACATTCTCCTGTTTTTCATTAGCATCTACAAATCAACATTTCTGAAATCCTGCAAAATGTTTTTGCTATCTGCATTTTGCTCTTGACATATCTATTGTCTAACAAGATGCATATTTAATTATTGAGTTTTATTCCCACATTAGTGCGAAGCACCATATTAAATATTTCTGTCTTGGTGAAAATAAGCTTGATTGATAGTAAGTTGTTAAGGACATATATGAGGCTTAAAAGAAACTAGCATGATCAAACAAAACAAATACTATTAAGTTATTAACTATTATTCTTTTTAATATTATAAACAAATTTGGTACTTGTAGCATTCAGTTATCTTTCTAGTAGGAATCAAAAGATATATGTTCCAGAAAATATCTGGATTAAATCCTATTTTATGTTCCCTAAGTTGAAGTTGCACACTTGGTGGGTTGGATTTAGAGCTATGCAAGTTAAGGTGAGATGGAGAGAGATTTCTAAGATCTGTTTGCTCTAGTGGTTAAGGCTCCAAGCTAGAAAGTAAGAGACTGTGAGTTCAAGTTCCGCCTTAATCATGAAAGCTATCTGGGTGACTTTGGGCCAGTCATTTTCTCTTAGCTCAGCTCACCTCAAAGGGTTGTTGTGGGGACAATAGGAAGAGAAAGATGTGTTGGATATGTTTGCTGCCTTATTTGTAAAAATAATAGGAGGGATTCAAATAAATAAAAATAACTGCATTTGCGGATTCAAACAGTGTTTTAAGTGCTGTAACTTTTATATGGTGGACTTCTAGAAAACGTCTGTTAAGACCTTTTACTATAACAAGTTTCTTTCATTGTAGGGCTCAATTAAAGATCAGTTGAAGGCATATGGTGCTCTCACAGAGAATGTGACTCGGAAGTATACTCGCCAGATCCTGGAAGGAGTTCACTATTTGCACAGTAACATGATTGTACATAGAGATATTAAAGGTACTGATGGGGGTATTGTTATAACTTTGCTTGGTGAATTGTAAATATTTCTTCCTAAATCTTGAAGAGTTGGTTTCCTTTTTTCTCCTGGTATACTACTGAAAATCGTTTGTTTTTTTTAAACACATTTTATTAATTTTTAAAAGCATACAAAATATACAAGATAAACATAAAACCTTTTTTCTAAAAATTTCTAAAAATTATTTGAAAGTTTTACAACATTAACACATTTCCTTACAATCACATATTTTCCCTTTCTAACTTGCTTTATTTTCTTCTATCTTTCTCTCCATTGTCCTTTTCTAACCTTTCTCCAAGGTTTTATTAACTCATTCAAACATAAACACATAAGAACACAAAACATATAAACATAAAAAAAAAAAAAATCTTTTCTGAAAGTTGCTTAATCCCGGGTCAAAACTCTTTGCACAGACACCAACTCAAGTTCATATTCATTTTATATGCCATTCCATATCAATATTACCATTTTCAATTTTTTATATAGCTTCTTCTCTCTCTTAGATTCTCTTAATTTTATTTTATTTATCTCATCTCAATTCAAATCATAATATTTATTATTCTTTGTCTGTTTATTTCCAGCTATCGATTTATCTTTCTTCTTTAAAAAAAAACTTCTCCTGTACACTAATTGGAGTATGACGCCTTTACCTCTTTCCCCTACATTTATAATACTTAATATAAAATACCTAACTTACATTGGGATTCTATTTGGTACATTCTAAAATTATACAATATTATCAATACCAATACTAATCTATTCATTAATATTCATATTCATATTCTTTTATATCATAAACACTTAGCACATTACTTTTCAATTAATTAACATACTTTTGTGGGAGCACCTACTTTCCATAATTATTCCCCCCCACGTCACATATTTTAAATCATTATTTCATTAAGGTATTCCTGCTTCTCCTACTTCAAATCTCTCCTTTCAAAAAAAAAAAAATTCCCACTGAAATAACACAATCTAATTAATATTGACATTCATTTATATCTTTCTCTCCAACTCCTTTATATCTTAACCATTTTATCCATTTCAATTAAATAACATGCCTTTTGGGAATACTTATATTTTCCACAATTAATTCTGAAAATCGTATTTTGTTGAAGACCTTTTCTGCACTTTTCCAATATATATATATTAGTTGGCCAGAGAACCTTTCATCATATTAGATACAACATATTAGGTAATCATTGGATGGTCTAGCTGTTCAATCTGAGAAAATTGAAATGGTGATGTTAGTGCTCTACAAATTTAATAAATAATCCCCGAGAATTCCTAATCATAAATAGCAACAAAGTAGCAAACATACATAATCTCAATTAAAACATTTGCCATAAGTAGTACTTAAATGATTATTTTAATTATAAATATTAAATGCTGAAAAATCTTATGAAGTAGTACATATTAGCTTTTGTTAATTTCCTTTCATTTTTATTTCTTGGATAAATACAGAGGGGGCTGTTGTCAGACCTGCCCCAGCTACGTACCTAGAAAAGAAAGATCTTCGATTCCATTTGGTTTAAGTGATAGATACTTTTACTAAGGATTACTGGTTGCAGTGAAAGCAGGCTAGAACAAAACTTCCTGTGCAGTGTTACAAATTTTTCCCCTTCATGTTCCCCATTCCCATTGGCCAGACTTTCTGTGTCCAATAGCATCCCAGTGCAATGTTTTGGAAACCGATTTGCTGTCAGGCACATCTTGAAATGGCTGCACATTCTTTTCCAGGCCAGGTGTCTTTGGGCATCTGGATTAGTCCAATTTTCACATGTCTGGTGGTTTCCCCCTTTCCCTCCTTTTACTTCCTCCTGCACTTGTTCCCCAAATGCTTATGCCCCCCCCTCCCCAATTGATGGCAGGATGCCAGCAACTTAGCGGAGCACAGCAAAGATGGCAGAGCTGACAGCTGTGGTGAGGGGCTGGGAAGTTTTGTACAGCTTTGCTGGAGTACAAATTGCAATTGTACATGAAATAGGACCAATAAAACACTTCAAGAAAACCTCTTCATGAAGATAAATGAGGGAGGAAAGGAAACACATTAGACTTGCAAAATTATATTATGGTAGCTGTTCTAATAAAAGTAGCTTTAGGTCTATTCAGTGTCTGTTGCCCACCTTGTAGGGCTGATACTAACTTCTTTGTGCGATTCACAATGCAAATTTTGACCCTAAAGATCTGCATAGCCTGTTGAGGTACTAAGTACCAATTGGAGATGGAGGCATGAAGATGTTTTTTCTCTGTCACATGTAACCCTTACCCTGAAAAATTCAATCCACCCCATTTTATTAATTTTATTTAAGAAGGTATTTGAAATTAGAAATGACCATCTTTTATTTGTTTGCCAATGTAGAAACATATTTTTATGTTGTGATTTTAATTTTGATCAGTTGTACCATGGATGTTTTATAGCAAATTACTTATTATTCTACTGAGAATCAATTCATGGCCTGAGCTAAAGTTTAATAAATA